TGAGTCATTATTTGAGTTTTTGGGCAGAGTGGATTTTTAAAAATATTTTTTTCCACATAGTTAGTGCCACTTAATTGCCAAACTCTTTTTGACTAATTGTAGTGAGAAAGATGTGTTAGTCCCACATTATTATTGGTTGTTTTATTACCTTTCCTGTGTGGAAGTATATTTTTTTATTATTCTACTGAAGGATTATAATACACTGCATTTTTATTGACAAGTGTCAGCTCTCAAATTCTTTTGAAATTATGTTTCTATCTGCTAGAGGCAGAGATAATCATTCTGTAGACGTTGAATTTCAGCATTAAAAAGAAGCAAGTATAAAATCTCGATTAAGAACCATGTCCTGGTACTAATCTGAGTACCTCACTGAAAAAGTTATGTGCACCCCTGATCATATGTCTAACAGATTCAACATGCTGTTGAACATGCTGTTGAATCTGTGGTTGGGTGCTCCAGGAAAGTAGGTTTAAGCAATATATTGTGCAGTATCTCTTGACTTTTAACAGTAGAAAATGAAAAGCTCAATGTGTGACCGTTATGTTGTCAGGTAAAGTGTCTAAAAACTTCAAATAGCAAGGCAAGGCAAGGCAAGTTTATTTGTATAGCACAATTCATACACAAGGCAAGTCAAAGTGCTGAACAAGAAAGCATTAAAATCATAAATAATCACAGAACATTAAAAAGAAAGATAAAAATATAAAATCCCTCAGTTGTATGCACAGCTAAACAGAACTGTTTTTAACCTGGTTTTAAACATTGTCAGAGAGGAGGCCTGTCTCACATCTTCAGGGAGATTATTCCAGATTTTAGCAGCATGAATCTGCAAAGCAGCCTCCCTGTTTAGTCCTGACTCACGTTTAATAGTAAAAACAGGATCAATTAAAACATTATATTGTTTTTGTAACTGTTCATTTCCTTTCTTTTTGGACCCTCTGTTGTTGTAGCAAGTATTTCTTCATTGTGATAGCAAAAGTAATTTTTATTTTATTAATGAAAGGACGGTCACAGTCAGAGTGGCAATGTGTCAGCTTAAGGTCAGAGGTGTGGAGAATATGGATATAGCACGGTTTATGTTCAATGTTCGAGGAAGTTTTATTTCAGGGAAAAGTGTGCATCTTAGTCAAGTACTATCGTGGTTTAAGTTTTATTCCTGTTTTATTTTGAAATGTGTTACTCTCTGTGTCTTTAGTTGTACTTCCTGTTGTTTAATTACCTGCTGTGCCCTCCTGCCCGCCCTCATCTGTTTCACCTGTGTCTTGTTCAGTGCATGGAGCCCCAGATCGAGGGAGATTATCAGTGGTCTTGTATGTCTTCCATTTTCTGATAATTGCTCCCACAGTTGATTTGTTCACACCAAGCTGCTTGCCTATTGTAGATTCACTCTTCCCAGTCTGGTGCAGGTCTACAATTCTTTTCCTGGTGTCCTACGACAGCTCTTTGGTCTTGGCCACAGTGGAGTTGAGTCTGACTGTTTGAGGCTGTGGACAGGTGTCTTTTATACAGATAAGGAGTTCAAACAGGTGCCATTAATACAGGTAACAAGTGGAGGACAGAAGAGCTTCTTAACCTCTTAAGTAACACCGCGGCCGTTTTTATGTTTTTAAATGTTCTGCTGGCAATAGCAGATGTATTTTGAACACCAAACCCCAAAAGCTGTATATCATTTTAAAGCTTATTTTCCTATCTACATTTATATACAAGTAAACTACATCAGACTTTGCATTCAAAAGATATAACACATAATGTGGGCACAAAATAAATCAATTCCAAAATAGTTTTTTACCTTTGGGCTTGTGCTGTACAAATAAATCAGCTCTCCTCCCAGCTTGCAATACATCATTCTCTCTGGAACAGTCCAAAGGAAAATTTATCCACTTGTATTTCCCAAAGTAAAATCCATTCTGCAGAAATAATCCAAAAACGTGCATTTATCTTTAGCGAAAAAAACGAAAAAAAAGAGCACAGATGTTACTCTTTCACTTTTAACGGACTTTTAGCTTTGTTTTTCACCCAAACATCTGGTATCTACGTGTTCCTTAGCTCCTTATCTTTCAAATGAGACTACTCCCGAAAAGCTAGACCAATTTTTGGGTCTGCAAGAGGTCCCGCGAGTACAGCTAGTGTTGCTGTTTGCGCATTGATCACTGATCTTTGTTGTGATCCCAACTTGTTTGCTTTTACTTCCGGGATTTACGATTGACATGTGCTTGTAGCCAATGAGGAAAGCTTTCGAACAAGGGGTGGGACAATGGTGTCCTGTCTTATGTTGGGCCTGGACAATTGTGCGTAATGGCAGCCAAAAGACGCTCTCGAAGCTGCAATGAATTTACACTCATAAAACACTCATTTAAAAAAGAAAAACACACATAGATTAGTAACTTATAAGTACCAATAATAAAAAATATGGTTTTTATGATGATTAAATGTAAGTAAAGATATTTGGCACACTTGTGCCAAATTGTGCCAAATGTGCACTACTTGATGAAAAGGAGAAACTGCATAAAAACTATAAAACTTAGAAGTCTGAAACTTTAGACAGTTGTTGTCAACAACACAATGAACAGAGGGTTTGAATATTGTGAACTTACAATGAAGTATGCCTTTTTTAGGGCCTTTAGAAATTGAAAATTGGGTTTTTTTCCCTAACTTCAAAGGATGCAGAGGAAAATAGGAACGACAAACATTATTTTAGTGTTTTTTTACATCACACAGCTTGTGACGTCAGAGCGGGTGGGTTTCAACCAGCTGTTAATTAGTTAGTTAGTAGTTTGGTATTTGGTATTCTTTTTTTCATGAATATTCAACATGACAAGGCGGTGTATTGCAATGTACTGCTCTCAAACGCACAAACGGCTTTATGGGTGGCCAAAGGATAAAAAAAGAGCGAGGCTTTGGACGGCATTCGTCAACACCAAGAGGAAGAATTGGCAGCCGTCCGTTGTCAGCACTGGGAGGTGTGGTCCGATGTTGTGCTCACAACATTTCGCCGGGGACTGTTTTGAGAATTTGCTTCAGCATCAAAGTGGATACGGCAAAAGGTAAGTAGCGCCTTATGAGTGGGTGTATGTCTGTAGCTAGCTATATATATTTGTTACCGAGGTGTAAGTGCTCCGTGATAGCCCAGTGGTTATGTGTTAGCGCTCGCACCTCGGCAAGTGGGGTTCGAGTCCGGCCCGACCAAGTTTTTGCAAAGAACGGCACTATAATATATGTGTAATGAGCGGTTGACAACTGTAGGGTGCAGTATTGCGTCAGACATCAGCGGAGAGGAGAGAGGATAGCGAGAATTGATCGCATATGGATCTATGATAACCATTCCTCTGGTGTGTGTTTATATTGCTATATAAACACACACCAGAGGAATGTATAATATATATATATATATATATATATATTATATAATGTGTGTGTGTGTGTGTGTATAAATCATGTTATAGGTGTAGGCCACTATCTTTTGTGTACTTTTCATTCATATTATTAATCTGATATTGATTTTCCAGGCTATTACTAAAACCAGATGCAGTACCTACACTGCATACTGCAGTCCTGGCAAATGCTGCTTTGGCTGAGTGTGGCCAAGTATCAGGTTCTAGTGACGCAAGCTGTGGGCAAGATGTTTTTACACCTGATCCGTCAAGATCATCAACCCCAAGACCAGCATCTGTAGACCATCCAAGACCAGCATGGGAACAACAACGTATGATCAGTGAACTTCTTTACACCAACAATGAAGAAGAAACTGATCAGGTTGATGTTGCAGGAATACAAAATAAAGGTCTAAATAATTAATCAGTCTAACACATTCCTCTATATGACTGTTCTGTTATTAATTACGTAACAATGATATTTTTCAGGTACCCAGACACTAAAGTGGCAACCGAAATGCCAAAAATGCAAAAGCAAAAGGAAGTATAGGTCCAAAAGGGTTCAGTGTGGCAAACCATCAGCCACATTGAACAGGAAGAGGAAGAGGCGGCACAGTCCTTCATCTTTTGTGCCTACCGACTCTGATTCTGAGCCTGAAATCTCAATCAATGACAACGAGTATAGCGCTTCAGATGGAGAGGAGTATGATGCTGAGGTGCACAATAATAACCCTCAGGATAACATCATTTTTGAAGAAATGAAGTAAGTTCTGATGATTTATGATCTTACAATTGTTTGTCATAATATATCACTCTGTCAAGTTCTGAGTCTTATGAAAAATTTACATAATGAATGCATGTGAATAAATAAAATCATCATCTAAAAAGACAACTTTTTCTCCAGATCAGATGAGCATGATCCTTATAACAAGAGAAAAAAATATATAGTCTTTGAATCATGTCTTCTGTCACTGTTGTCAGTTTGCATGGCCTGCTCTGGCCACAACCGCAGCTATAAAAAGGTAAACACCATTCTATGCAGCCTTGAAAAGCCTGGTGTCATTTATTTAGACCATAGCTTGGATGTAAAGTTAAAAAAATTGTCCAAGGAGACTTATATTCTTGGTGCAAGAATTACCAGATAAAGCTCAAATCTACAAAAAATTTGTTAAATATCTGGTGGGTACTTGGTGAAAATGGTAATTGTGTTATCTGATTTAATTCTTGTAGACAAGGGGCACCCTCCTCACTGTCAAGACCGTCTGTGAGAAGTGTGGAGAGTCCAGAGAATGGAAGAATCAGCCGTGTGTGAGGCAAATGCCCATAATGAATATTTTGATTAGTGCTGCTATTTTATTTACTGGGTCAATGCCAACCAAAACACTAAGATTATTTAGGTAAAAAATGTAAACAGAAGATGTCTTTATTTTTTTTAACAATAGAAATGTAATTTTTGTTTATATTTTCAGCTTTCTTAACATTGAATGTCTCACCATCCGGACCTTTTTTCGTCACCAAGCATCATATCTTCATGATGTAATTTGCAATGTGTGGACAAGCGCAAAGCTGAAACTTTGGGACTCCCTTCGTGGAAGAAGTCTGGTCCTTGGTGGTGATGCCCGCTGTGACTCAATGGGTCACAGTGCAAAATTTGGATGCTACAGTCTAATTGACATTGAATCAAACAAGCTTCTTACAGTTAACCTCGTACAGGTGAGTTTGATTACACATTTCATTCATTTTCTTTTGAAATACAATTTTGACGAAACCAAATCAATATTAAATTGCAGTCAAATGAGACCAAAGGCAGTTACCACATGGAGCTGGAGGGCTTAAAGCGGTGCCGAAGGGATTTGGATGGCTTTCAAATAAAGGCTTTGGTGACAGACAGACATTGTCAGGTAGCCAAATGGGTGAGAGAAAGCTGGAAAGTACCCCACTTCAACGACTGCTGGCATGTTGTCAAAGGTAAGCAAAACTCTGTACGTGTGTGTTATAACATATAGCCCCAATATGAGACCCCATGTCCTACTTCAGGTTTAAGCAAGAAATTGGACCTGCTTTCCAAAAAGAAAGGGTATGACCTGGTTAAGGAATGGACGAAGGGCATCACATATCATTTATATTGGTGTGTGATGTCATCTGAGCCTGGAGATGAAGAGAGTATTAGAAAGAAGTGGCTGTCAACAGTGGACCACATCCAAAACAACCACGAAAATTGTGAAAGCCATGGACCAGGCCTGAAGAAGAAATGGTTCAAACCAGGTAAACAAAATGATTTATTTGAGTGAAAGGATTTTGGATTTTTAAACTGAACACATTTATCAATGATGAATATGTAATTGCAGGAACTGAGTGCTTTGTGGATTTGGTGGAGCTCCTTACCAAGCCTTACTTTTTAAAGGATGTGGAGAAAATGTCTGCGCATGGGCAAACTAGTGGAATTGAGTGCTTCCACAGCGTTATCAACCATTTCGCCCCCAAAATGTACACATTTTCTTACTTTGGGATGCAAAGTAGGTACAGTAGGGTTATTTTTTTATTTCAAAAACCAGAATGAAAATGGAATTTGTAATTGCACTTGCCACAAATAGTGTAAAGTTGTTGATTCAAGACTTTGGAATGATACTCTATAATTATAGAATTCTGCTTGCCGCTTTACACTACAATGAAAACGCTGGTAGACCACAAGCCGTTTCCAAGGGTGGACTTCAGCAGTTCAATCTAGTCTTCCCAAGAGCCAAGAGTGGTGGGCACACTCTGAGGAAAGTTCTTGTCGAGGCATCTTATGGTAATTCATTTCAAAATGTTCCCTGACACATAAGTTATTTTTTTCTTCTTCACAAAGTATAATTCATGTATAAAAATATCTCTATTGTCACATACTGGTATTTGTGTAGTCTGGCTTATTAATACTGTCACTTCAGGATATGCAGATGTATGCTTTGAAGAATTGCTGAAGGTGGTTGAAAAAGGACCAGCATCAAACAAGGCCCTACGACAACAGGAACCTTTGCCACTAAGTGCCTCCTGTGAGAGGCCTGATATTGCAGATGTGGTCAGGGACTTTTTCTCTAGATTCCCCAACAAAAAGGATTAACGGTAAACAAAGTTAAAAAGCAATTACTTTATTTAATTAGTATATCAATTTATTCCAAATTTGGAAATTGATGACCAACAAATACGGCATCCTCTTCATTTCCAGGTGGTGGAAAATGTGCACGAATGCACATGGCAGCACAGGAGGGGATCACAACCCTGTAGCCCTCACCAAGTATTTTCCAACACCATCTCACAAACTGTCTGTAAGCGATGTGCCTGTATTTGCAGTCCTGTGGGCCTTCGAATGCCCTTCCCCTATACTGCTGCTTGTATCCATACCAGGCACATTGGAGTCCCCATGGGTCGAGGGACGCGGAATTCAAGCCTGGATGGTCTGTTATGCATTGTGGTCGTGGGCTGACTTCTTCCATCTTAGCACAAACTTCAGGAATTTCCTGACAGCACACATTCTCTCTCGGGAAGTTCATTGTCTGGCAGTGCGTGCAGGAACACCTATAAAACAAAGTGTGATTATAATTATATTTGTAATGTTTTGTATATTGTACTGTATTGTATTGACTTCTTTATATTTCATCTTTACATGTATAATTGACTCATTGATTTATTGTTGATTGTAATTGCAGGTAGCCTCATTATATCTTAGGATAAAACATGTTTTCTAGTTTCACACCTTGCTAGGTGAAAGAATGTTATTTACAGGCTATAGGTACACGTATTATACATATAAAAACATCCTGAGCAACTCTGTAAAGTCTTTATTACATTATTATGTCTTTTAAAATAGTACTTTGGTATCCATCATCCCAGTCTAGCTAAAAAAACATAGGCCAGCCTGTGTCAAGTCAATAATCTGATAGTGATAATAATGTCTACTAATGAAATAGTGCATTTATTCATAAATTACTAACATGATGGGTTGAATTGCAATTATTCCTTTTGTCAGTCATTGTGGCAGACTGCTTTCTTTACTACGGGTAAGTCAACGAGGTCTGAATTTGAGCTCACGAAAAATATGTTTTTGTCAGTCAATTGTTGACTTTTTTTTTTTGTTGATTTAATGGATCTTTTGTGTGTGTATTAGTTACAAAATTACTTGCCATTCATCGAGCCGATCTGCGTCAAGTCGCCATCTAAATGCCTCTTCAGGGTCTATTTCCGGGTCTGCGTTTGGCTCCTCTCTACCAGTATTCTCTTCGTCCGAGGAAGCATCGGGCTCAAACATGTGTGGTAAAAGTTGCAAGACTTCTTCTTGCAAATTGCTTTGCTCTTCATCTGTTGATACTCGGTCCGTAGACGAGGTATAACTGCTGGTTTCTCGTTCGCCGTCGGTATCGCTGTTGTGTACATAGTCCATTTCAATGTGGCGGATATACATGGGCGTCACCCGCTATGACGTCACACTTCCGGATTTGAAGTAAAATCATTATTTTTATAATATAAAGGATTTTTTTTGCCGTAATCTATTTCAGATCGACATTAATTGATTAACTGTCATGCAATTTTGATATCCACATTTTTTTTTTTTTAAACCCGTCATATGGTCTTTAACTTAGACTTCAAAAGCGTCAGGTTTGCATTGAAAGTGAATGGTGAAGCGCGTCAGGTGAAGCCGAGGGGCCCGGCGTCACTTGGCTTCAAAAGCTTCAAAAGTTGCGAGTAATACGCGCGCCACTTGAAGCTTTTGACTCGCGTCTCTTTCCCTTGACGCCGAAGTTGAGCAAAGCTGAGCTTTTGAAGCTTCAACCAATCAGGAGACGAGGAGGAGCAGCAGGTCTGTCTCTGTCATGGAGAGAAGTCATGTAACTACTGCTGCTGCTGTTTTATTGTCATTATTGTTATTAGTAATATTATTGTATGAGCAGTAACGTTCTTAATAAGTACGTAACAAAATCATTGTACACATGCTGTGAAGTATAAGTAATTTATTTAATATAAGAAGCTGACGAGTCTGGCACAGAGCGGGAGCGAGGCAGCTCCAGGCTGAAAGAGGGGAGAGAGAGGCGGGCAGAGGAGAGAGAGAGGCAGGCAGAGGAGAGCGAAAGGCGGGCAGACGCGAGCGAGAGGCGGGCAGAGGAGAGCGAGAGGCAGGCAGAGGAGAGCGAAAGGCGGGCAGAGGAGAGCGAAAGGCAGGGCGAGGCGAGCTCCGGGGTGCGGGAACTCAAACTGGGCGAGTGACATGGGGAAGTACCGCTGAAAGTGAAACTCCCCCGTAGGCAGCACCTGGAGTAGATGACGGAATTCTGCAAACACTGCAACCTCTCAACTCTGGTGAACCCAGAACATATGGTGGTGATGTTTCAATATGGTGCCTTGTACGCTCGCCTCGGCTCTTTGCTGCTCTCTTTTGCTTTTGTTTTTACTTTTTAACTGTGCATCTGGCTGTTCCTACACCCGTGAGGAACTTATGAACATCCGACCCACCGGAACCGGACCTATTGCCTTTTTTCTTGGCATCTGCGGCTGATTTAGTTCATGTTCTAGCCAAAAAAGTGTGGGCCCGTAAAAGGGGAAAGCGCGGAGGCCTGCTCGTGCGTATTAGGAGAAGAGTGCGCACGGCTCTCCCCGGCATTTTTCTCTCCAACGTACGCTCACTGGGCATTAAGATGGACGAACTCAGCCTGCTCATGAGAAGAAACAAGGACTTCGCCACATCCTGTGTCCTCTGCTTCACTGAGACCTGGCTAAATGAGCGGATCCCGGACTGTGCTCAGGAAATGCAGGGTTTTGAGCTGTTCTGCGCGCTATCAGGCAAAAGCAGAGGCGGAGGGCTCTGTTTCTACGTCAATACAAACTGGTGTAACGATGCGACAGTGATCTCCAAGCACTGTTCTCCTGCTCCGGAATATCTTTTCATTCATTGTAAACCATTTTACTCCCCTCGTGAATTTGTTTCATTCATTCTTGCCTCTGTTTACATACCACCATGCGCGGACGTGCGCGAGGCTCAGCGCGCACTTGCAGAGCAAGTACTGTGTATGGAGCGTTTATACCCGGACTCTCTGATTATTATCCTGGGGGATTTTAATAATGGAAACTTGAGCCAGGAATTACCCAAATACAGACAGTTTATCAAATGCCCGACCAGAGAGGAGAACACTCTGGATCACTGCTACACCACTGTGCGCGGAGCTTTTCACGCTGTTCCCAAAGCAGCCCTCGGCTTCTCAGGTCACTCCATGACCATGATACGATCTGATCCCTGCTTACAGACAGAGACTAAAGCTCTCGAAACCTGTAGTGAGGAGCTCCAAAGTGTGGTCTGATGAAGCTGTGGAAGAGCTGCGCGCATGCATGGAATCTACAGACTGGGACCTTTTCAGAGCTGCCACAGATAGTTTGGATGAATACACGGACACTGTGACGTCATCCATTCACTTCCGCGAGGATAGCATCATTCCAACAAGGACCGGGGTCATCTATAACAATGACAAATCCTGGTTCACTGCTAAACTCCGGCAGCTCAGGAAAGCAAAAGGAGTCTGCTTTCAGGGAGGGGGACCGCAGTGGCTACAAAGCAGCTAAATATCAGTTCAGGGACGAACTGAAAGCAGCCAAGTCCCGGCACAGAGAACGACTACAGGAGCAGTTGGGTAACAATGATACTGCTTCTGTCTGGAGGGGCCTACGGGAGATCACCAACTACAAGCCCAAAGCCCCCCCGTGCTGACAACCACAAGCTAGCTGACGAACTGAACTTTTTTTTCAGTCGCTTTGATGCTGCCCCTGACACCTCCACCACCCCCCACTACTCTAACGACCCGTCAGCCCTGCCCCCCACCCTGACAATAGCCTCTAAAGATATCAAACAACTCTTGAGGCTGCACCCCCACAAAGCTCCTGGCCCGGACCACGTGTGTCCGGCCACTCTGAGACACTGCGCCAGTGAGCTTACTCCTGTGTTCACTGACATTTTCAACTCTTCTCTGCAGTCCTGCCATGTCCCGGCCTGCTTCAAATCCTCCATCATTGTCCCCGTCCCGAAGAAGCCCAGGATTACAGGACTCAACGACAACAGACCTGTAGCACTTACGTCTGTCGTCATGAAGTCATTTGAACGCCTGGTCCTCTCCCATCTCAAGTCCTTCACCTCCCCCCTCCTGGACTCCCTGCAGTTCGCCTACAGAGCCAACAGATCTGTAGACAACGCCTTTAACCTGGCCCTCCACCACATCCTACAGCACCTGGACTCCCCAGGGACCTACCCCAGGGTCCTGTTTGTGGATTTCAGCTCTGCCTTCAACATGATCCTGCCATCCCTGCTCCAGGACAAGCTCTCCCAGCTCAACGTGCCCGATTCCACCTGCAGGTGGATCACTGACTTCCTGACAGACAGGAAGCACCGAGTGCGTCTGGGGAAGAATGTCTCGGACTCTCGGATTATAAATACAAGAGCCCCACAGGGCTGTGTTCTTTCTCCCCTGCTCTTCTCACTGTACACAAACCCACCTCCAGCCTCCAGCCACGACCCAGTGAAGCTGATCAAGTTCGTGGACGACACCACCCTCATTGGACTCATCTCCAACAACGATGAGTCCGCCTACAGGAGGGAGGTGGACTGGCTGGTGTCCTGGTGCAGTGGTAACAACCTGGAGCTGAACGCCCAGAAGACAGTGGAGATGATTGTGGACTTCAGGAAGAGCACGCGGCTGCAGTGTGTACGAGCGCTCGAGTGCTCTAGTTTAAAGGGCACGTCCTGTGGCACATGGACCTTCATTTATAACTTTTCTTTTTGTTTACGAGTTAGTATCAGGATTAGGGTGTGGCTTACCACACCCATAGGTTATAAATCTCCAACGCGCGGTCCGAGAATTCATTCCCTGAAGAAGTCCCCAGGTTGAGGACGAAACGTCGGGAAAACTTGCTAAGAAGTACAGATGATGGGTGAGAAACCTTCCTTTGCTTTGACTAATCCCTGTACGACTGAGGGTTTACACAAACTTTTCTTTTTGTTTATTCAGGTTTAAGATAAGATAAGAATTCCTTTATTCGTCCCACAGTGGGGAAATTTCGATGTTGCATCGCACATATAGTAAGAAAATCAAACAAGTCATTTTCAACCAAGTAAAAGTCAAAAGTCTCATCAGTCATTGTCACCTTAAATGCTCCAGAAATACTATCATTAATCCAAACACAAGGCCTCTGTGTAAGATCACATACAGTCATCTGTAACTTCTAATGTGATAATACTGAAAAATAAAAGTAAAAGTCCTTCAGTGACTCCCTTTGAAGTCACTCTCCTCATAGTATCAACTCATCAGTAAAGTCTCCATAGATTCTATTGTCAGACAAATCATAATCATCGCTGTTGTCCCAGTCACTGTAGTTGTTTAGCTGTAGTTGTAGCTGTTCTCAATCCAGTAACTAAAAAAAGTAGCTGTAGTAGTTGTGTATTTACTCCAG